GCAAATGCGTGCAGGCCTGGGCGAAGGACATGACAACACACAGTAGTCTCGCGCTTTCTTCTACTCTTGTAAAGAGTTGGGGGTCTCAGAAACCCATAGGGCAGCCCTTCCCCGTCATACAGGGTCACCGTGAGTGGGCAGGGACTCGATGGCAGAGTCAGTAGGAAAGCTGTCAACATTTTTCATTCAGTGTGATGTTCTTTTTGTGGTTTTTCATACCTTTCTCTTTTTAGCTCAAAGAAGTTTTATTTCTAATTTGTTGAATTAAAAAAAAAACCCCACCATGAAACGATATTGGATTTTATCAAATGCACGCTCTCCATCTATTGAAATGATGGGATGATTTTTGTTCTTCCCCATGCCTCACTAGTCCTCCTTACAATAAAAAATCTTAACATTATAAGCAACAACAACAGCAAAAACACACACATGCATAAAAGGTTCTGAAATGTTGGATGCAGAAATTCCTGAGAGCCCAGGGGTTAAGGACCAGTACAGTGGTGGGTTCCCTGCGTCTGTCTTTTGCTTCCCATTGATCATGGATGTGGTGGCCAAGAAGAAACCAGAAACCCAGAATTGCCAACAGGCACAGACTTTAAGATGTCCGGTAAGAGCTTCCTCCTCCTACCCAAAGGATGGCTAGAAGGATGGCTTACAAAACAAAAACTTGTTTGTTTTTGTTATCATGCCCTCCCCATTCCAGCTCAACTCCAAAGAGGAACCTGCCCCACACTCACTTCACAGTATCAGCAGCACTGAGTGGAGCTGGGCCTCTGGTCAGACTGCACAGCACCAAGATGGGCGGAGCTAGATCTCTGCCTCCCCCACTGGGGTGGCATCAGAAGAGATGGACAAAGAACTGAAATGCCACCCTCACCCAGCAGCAGAGAGGCAGGCTTCGGTTGACACTTTAATTCTAATGAGAGTCAGTGGGACCCAACTGGATGCAAGACAATGCTAATTACCACTCCACCCAGCTTCCACTCCAGTGTTGGGGAGGCCAAAGAGGAGTGTACCCTTCCACCTGCGCCTCACACGACTGCCTGCAAATTATAGACATATTCTCAGGATCTCACAACGTAATGGCCCAAATTAACAGAATACAAAATTAATTTCTTAGAACAAGAACCAGAAACATTTCCACTTGAGTGAGAAAAAAAGAATAAACAGAGGCCAATAGCAAGATGACATGAACATCAAAACTATCTGAGAAGAATTTTGAAGACGAGATCTGAAAGGTGCTCCTTCATGAACAGAGAGGTCTACAGGGCCAGCCCCAATCAGAGCCAAACTCACACCCCATCCCTCTTCCTCCCCTAGAAGTATGCCCTACAGAGGACAACACTAACCCTACAGGTTGGGGAGAGGGGCCAGCCTGCCACACCCCTACAGAAGCAAACCAAGAAGAAAAAAGAGAGAGTGAGGGAGTAGACCCCATACTGGCACACCAAGTCCTGAGGATGACGTCCCTGCATGGAGCTGTTAAGGCACAGAGAGGGCTGTAGGGCCGACAACAGCGGAGGCATGCTGTCTCCTCTCTGGAGCACACGGAGACAGAGGACCATACTGGGGACACACAGTGGGGAGTGTGTCCGGTCTGACCACCCCCACAGCAGGGCGAACCAAGAAGGGAACATAACAGACCAGCAACGGAACAAAGTAAAGCCACAAAACATTGAGGGCTTGAGCAGAGGCCCAAAGTCCATCTGCTTCCTGAATGCATTGCCATGTAAATATATGTACATAGGCCAATACCTCTATTTCCAGGAATTTATATGTTGACATGAGTGCACACCCATGTCTATATCTCTATCCATAGCTTTGCTTCCTAGATCTCTCCTCTGTTTCTTTTGCTACCCACCTGTGCCTCCCAGATTTGGGAAATTATAGACAGTGGTTGTGAATGTGAAGTGACAACTGAGAGGTCTCTATATGACTCACATGTCAGAGGGTGGGCATTGATGTAGGGTGGTACAAGTTAGGAAGGAAGGGTATACAAGTAAGAAACACTTCATCTATTGTCGGCAGGACACCTGGCCAATTCAGCTGAGACCTCCACCATCACCCTCAACCTTATCATTAGCCAGCAAACAATTTTAAAACTCTCAGGAACTTCTCAACAGCCGAAGACTCCGGGAAGGAATAGAAACCATTCTGAAAGAACTCAGCTAACAGCAACCTGATACTAATCTGATTCCCTTCTAGCCACTCTACGTTCTCAATGGACTCCTGTACATTTCCCACAGACTGTTTTAAACTGTTAGCATGAGTGGTAGTGGGCGATACATGCCTCGGACTTTCTGTTGGCCAGTTCAGGTGACCATTACCATTTCCATTACCGATACCTCTCGCTGCACTTGGATGAATGGCATGTTGAGCTGATGTCTTTTGAAGAAGTCGTGAGTTTTCTCTTTCTGCCTCTGGGATGGCTCGTTTTAAGCCTGGTAGGATGGCAAGATTGACCAATCCCCACATGAGGTATGTTAATCTAGGTTCACGAGAGAAACAAATTCAGGACACTCATATATATGTGAGAGAGAGCTTTATATAAAAGAGCAATTGTATATTGAGAAAACATCCCAGCCCAGTCCAGATCAAGTCCATAAGTCCAATACCAATCTATAAATTCCTCTTCAGACTCACGCAACATGTGCAATGATGCAGAATGCAGGAAGATCACAGACCAGTGGGTGGAAAATCTTGTGGATCCAGTGGCAGTGGAAGCATCTCAGCACTGGCAGGGGTCACCACGTGGCTCCTCCAGCTCCAGTGTTCTAGCCTAGCTCCATGTGTTTTGTCAGCAGAAAGATGAAGCAGAGAGTCTGTGTATCTTGTTTCCAGTGAGCTATTTATCTCCTTCCTGTCTCCAAATGAGGTCATGAAGCTGGGACCTGACTGACAGGCTAGACTCCATCCACCCCTTCGCCAGTTGTCACCAGATTATGTAACTACAAGAGGGTTCCTAACACCTTACTGGGCCTGGTCTCACCCCACCAAGGTGCCACGGACCTTATTTACATGATTAGCAAGTTATTAAATCTCTTTGGTGAGCCCCATGCTCCTTATCTGCATTGTCCCACTCCATTACTTAGTGGGGTTACAAGGACTGGCTAAACCCATCCAGTTGATTCTGACTCACAGGGACCCTACGCAGGGTTTTCAAGTCTGCAGATATTTAGTTTTTCCTCCTGTGGAGTGACTGCCGCTTTGAACTGCCATCTGTGGTTAGAAGCCTGACACCTACTGGCAGCAGCGTCCTCAACTTGTGGGCCCCTACCCCTTTGGGGGTCGAATGACCCTTTCACGGGGGCTGCCCGTTTCATACCAGTAGCAAATTACAGTTATGAGGTAGCAATGAAAATAATGTTATGGTTGGGGGGGGTCACCACAACATGAACTGTATTAAAGGGTCGTGGCATTAGGAAGGTTGAGAACCACTGGACTAGGGCTAAATGGGTTGTTTATTCAGTAACTCACGGCAAAGCAGGGCCATGACCTAGGAATCGGGCATCCCCTGGGCTCATTGTCCAATTAAGTAGCGTCTCATGCTTGTTTTGTCTTACAGCTCAGTGTCCTTCATCTTTCCCCCCAGAACTCTGGTGCATGCTCAACAAGATCGTGACCTTCACCATGGTAAGAGTCACCGCTTCCTCCGTTCACACGACTTGTGTCCACTCATGCGCTTCACCAGTGTCCTCTGAGAGATCGATCCAGAGAGCCTGAGGTCTCCGTTGCTCTGTGGCTTTGCACAGATCTCCTATCTATCTGTACTCTCTCGGGACCTGGGGAGTGAACAGGTATCCATCCTCGTAGCCGAGTTTTGTTCCGCCTGTTTCAAAAGGTACATTTTTTAGCTTGCTTTAGCACCCTTTCCTCTCCTTATGCCTGA